TGCTGAATAGGGTTCATGGGGATGATATAATAACATTTTATGGAAGCAGTTTTATGTTTCCTTTTAATATTGTTCGTGGCTTTGTATTTCAAGATTAGAAACAACTTCTGCTATTGGGGAGAAATAAATGAAGGGAAAAGCAGGTCTTTTGCCAAAGTAAAATCATTCAGTCAAAGGGCTGGGTTTCCTTTTACAGTGTGAATAAATGATCAGCAGCAGACCTAGAGCAGCACATGAAATAACAGGAGAAAAAGAACATTTAAAAGCAAAATCTTAGCCCTTTAAAATTCCTCTGCCCTACAGGCTGTATTCTGTTGAGGAGTGTTGAAAGGAGACATTCTCCTGATGAAAACAGCCGAGCCGGAAGAGCCAGGGGTGTGTGCGTTGTGTCGCAAATTAAATGAATAAAGACTCATGTCTGATCATAAGCTCCCAAATAGGTTCATACTCCAGATTGCAAAATTATTTGCTGTGAAACTCCACTTTGAAAGCTGTGTATATCCAACTCTCTCTTTTTTCTGGGTTTTGGTTTTTTTTTTTGATGCGTGTGTGAGGTCTTTCTATACGCACAGATCCAGTAGCTGTCATTGTGATTATCCTCTTCTCTACTGTTTGGGCTGGCAATTTCTGAATATATTCATGTCAGTGCTTCAGAGAATAATTATATCTTAATGGGTTAAAGGTGCCTTAATTTCCATGAGTAAAACACAGAAAGGTAACACGATCAGTAAATAACCAAGGGTGAAGGGAAGCAGCAGCCTCTCCATCACTGTCCCATGTGCAGATACTGGGTGCAGCGAGACCTCGTGGGGTTCAGCGGCAGTCAGTCAGGCATCTCTTGCAAAGCTTGAAGTTGGGTTTCTTCAAATCCTTGCTCAAAATCTTAATGAGACCACCAAGTCAAGTGTAGAGCACTGTTACTTATGACATAGTTACAACTTTTGGTACGAAGAAAATTAATCAAGGTGGTTAATACAAAAGAAAATCCTAATGTGTGTTTAGACTACATTTACATCAGTGAAAGAAAAATCACCTGAAAGAGACAAGATAATCCAGTTAACTTTATTTCGGTGACCTTATTAAAAAGAAGTGAGAATTATGAAGTAATTAATTAAAAGTTGAGAAGGTAGGAGTTTGTAATCAACTCAGTCTACCTCAGTGCCAGATGCTTGATCCAGAAAGTCATGAGCTGCAAATGATTTAAACATCAGATGTTTGCCACAGTAAAGTAAAAATACCTCTCACCGCACTATATTGCTCATAATTTTTCTAGCAAAAGGTTGCAATTTCTGCTGTTTCTAATCTGACTTTTATCCTACGAAAGCTTAAATTACATTCTCCAAGCTGTGTTTGCCTTTCAGTTTGCAAAAATATTAAGACGTGTTTACCAATGTCCTTGAGAATTAATGTTGCCGCGGGGCAGAGCGACGGTTCACAGCCCGAAGTCTCCGGTTCTCTCCGTGTGTCAGGACGCAGTAATGATGCTATCGCACCATGTGGGGAAAGGGCAAGGCAGGCTCATTCTTTGTGGCTCCAGGGAGAGAGAGGCCAGATTAGGGTGCTCAGAGGACCTCTGCTGCCAAGGGAGGGCTACCAGGGTGATTGGGAGGATAAAGAGCACGTCCAAAAGCGATTGCTTTGTTTAACCTGGCAATGCGAGGGCTCGGGTAGAATTTTGTTACGCTCTATTAATACACTTGGTGTGGATCCCAGGAAGGGAGAACAAATACACCGGCTAAGGGAGAGCACGTTTACAGGACTAGGCAAATAGAAGTTAGCCATGTGTGAATTTTAATGTCAGACGTGGGGAAGGTGTTGGTGCCCATCACCTTGTGGATGGGCTGTTTGGGGAAAGCTGCCAGGGTTCGGGATGGCAGTTCCTCCCCAGGCTGGCGGGACAGAGTGACCCCGTGATGTTGGTGAACGAGTTTACAACCGTGGTCTTCCTAACAACAGGATTAAGGATCTGAGAGCTCCGTTTGTCTCCTTGAATGATGCTGCTGGTGAGAGCAATGCCAGGATCTGCTGGCACAGTCTGGAGTGAGGCGTGTTTTTTCCAGGCTGTATTTTGGTCTGTCGTGGATGCACAGCTCGAACAGGTGTGTGGTTTAGGCTTTGAGGTGTAGATAAAAATCCCCTTCCCTTTGCCACCCTCTGTCTCCAGCTCCCCACGGTCTCTGCTGCCCTTGCTTGCCTGTCCCACAGGATCCCAGTTCCTGGTTACATGAGGGCTTTCCAGCAGTACCAACACGCTAATACCAGGGAATCGGGGACACAAAAACTTTCTTACATTACTCACTTGGTATCTTAATTTTGATTTTAGCCTAGCCCATGCTGGGCACATCTGGGGCTGCTCCCAGGACAGACCCTCTGTGTGTGAGACACAACAGTTGCTCCTGTCCCGCCCTCTCTCCATCATCTCATTTCTGTACTTAATCTGCACTTGACACGTTGTGCATGTAAATATTTCAGTTATCTATGTAAATGCGATTTATAGATCCAGTCGGAAATCACAACCTATGTTTTTTGTTTAAACATTTATAATATTTCCAAA